GACGCGGGTCGTGAGGGCGACCGCCCGCCGGTGTCCCCCCACACGGCTCCCAGCCCGGCCGCGGACGTCCAGAGGGAGGGCGGCGTGGGAAGACCAGGGCTGCGTGTGGCGGGACTGACTTCCGTTTGGCTTTGCGGAGTCGAAGTTTGGAAACCTTGCGGGGGTGGAGAGTGGGCCGTGGAGGGGGACGCGCTTATTTCTCTCCAGGGAACATAGTGGTGATCAATTCCACACCACCCCAAAAGTTGGAGGTGGAACTATCTATCTTCTTCTGAAAAGTAGGGTTCCACGTTACACCCCTGCCCCGCCTCCACACAGGGGCTTCATTTATGCAGGCTGGTAAGATGGGGAGGGAGGGGCTTGATTAATGGCTCTCTCCTCGAGAATGGGGTTGAATTCCTTCCAAATGGGGGATCTTCATCCCCCTCCCAAGGGTGTGGCAGGGGGCGGGGGCTGCCCCTGGAGATGCCCACCTCCCCCCGCGGGAGCAGGTATTGGGTGTCGGGGGGCGGGGCCAGGACCCGGGGTGCTGTGCTGGTGCCCCAGGAGGCGGCCCTGGCGACAATGCGCGCTCTGATTCCCGGCGCTTTGCTGGCGGGCGGGGCAGCGGGCGCGCAGCTGTCGCATTTTCCCACGAGCAGGGAGCTGTGTGGCCACCCCTTCCAGCGCTGCCTTCTCGCAGAATGTGTTTGAACAGAGACCAGTGAGGTGGCTGGATGGAGGCCCCAGCCTTGCCGAGCTCCCCAGTGAACCCCACGGGGTGGGGGGTGCAGAATTTGGGAGGTGGCCTGAGTCATCTCCACCTTTCACGGCTGTCCAGGCTCACAGCAGGCCACCCCTCCGCACTTTCAGCACGCCTGCCACCTAGCCAACCTATTCCTCTCCCCGCCTCTTCTGACTACAGCCCCTTGGGTTTCAGGCAGCGGCTCCCTATGGCTCCTTGCCCATGACAACCCCATGACACTGAGCATAATGCCTCTTGGGTGAGGGGCGGATGGTACCCCTCGGTCTTGGGCTGGTGGCAGGTCCCACCCCAGAGTAACCAGGCCTTTCGGGAGCCCAGGGCTCTGCCACAGGCTGAGGCTGATCTGTCTTCTCTTGCCCTTTCCCAGGCCTGCGATGCTCCCAGCCAGGGGAGACCTGCTTGAACGGCGGGAAGTGTGAAGTGGCCAGCGGCACAGAGGTCTGCGTGTGAGTACTGCCCCTGTGGGGACCTGTTGCATCTGTCCGGAGTAGAGCCCCTGCTTTTTGCAGCAGCGCTGGGAGAGGACAGAACAGTGGGCCATTGTCTTCTGGAGGTGGCCCAGAAGGCTGGGCGCCGTCACGTGCTGACTTTTATTGGACAAAGTCTGGCAATTACTTAATCACCAGCAATTATGCCACGTGTGGAGCTGGTCTGGCTGCTGGAGGTTTGAGCACTCCTTCATGGGCCACCTTGGGCTGCTGGGGCTCTAGGTGGGAATCCCCAGTACCCACTTCTTAAGGTCCCTGAGAAATAGTTGATCTGCCATGGGGGCTCTGGGCCATTTACAGAAAGGCCTAGCCCCCACTACCCTGCCAACTGGGGAGCTGCTTCTTCTGGGAGAGTAGATGCCTCTTTTGGGCGGGTGGGCACCTGCTGGGCAGGTGAGCCTCTTCTGGGCAGGTGAGCCTGTTGGCAGGAAATTGACTATTTCAAAACAAAACCCACCCTTTGGGCCCTCTGCTTGCCTCAACTCACCCCTTCCTGGCCTCGGGGTGAGGTTGGAGAAGAGAAGTTGGGACTCATCTCATGGGCTGTGCCCATCTCCCTGTGTTGCGGACTGTGGGGGTAACTATATGAGGGTGACTGTCGGGAGTTTGGTTTCTGTCCTGGCGTCTGCAAACTCCGATCTCCTAAGTGTGGCTTTCAGGCCTCCTAGCTGCAGGTCCTCCCCGTAGAGTGGGCATGGCTGGGCAGCAGGCTCCACAGTGACCCTGACTGGGGCTGGGAAGGCCTTTTGAAATCTGCTGCCTGTCTGCAAGTGCCAGTCAGCCTGGGGAAGTTTTTCTGCTATGGCCGGTGCCCTTCAACTTGAGTGCATCCCTGATGAGAATACTGAGGAGGTGTTTGGTGGCTGGAGAAAGGACCCCCCCACCTCTGCTGGAGGCTGTAGATGAAGAAATGCTCCCCAGTAAGTCGGCGCCCCTCATTCCAGCTGCTGAAGGGCCTATTCCCTTGACAACCCCCAGCCCGTACTGCCGCCTGCACTGTCTGCCCAGCCTGTGGGCAGGCAGCCCCGCCTTCCCCTGCCCCCACCCTCCCCACACTGAAGCCAATTAAGCAGGTCTGTGAGCAGTTTAATGGACAAAGCCGATTGTGTCTTTGTCGCGCACTAATGAATGCACACTCCTTTTTTTTTTTTTTTTTCCTTTTTGGGGGCCCTTTCCTCCCCCTGCAGAAGCCTCACAGACGCTTGATGCCCTAAATCTTGTGTCCCTTCATTCAGAGACCGACAGCTGGGATTCAGTGCAAGTGCAGCGGCTATTGTTGGGGGAGGCGGATTAATGCTGCGTGATTAATTATGCGTGGCTTCCCCGAATGCGTAACCCCCTTCCCTGCCACAGTGCTCCCTGCTCCCACTCTGCCTCGCTCCCATGCAGGGCAGGGGTGAGAATCTTCTTACTTCTGCAGAGGAGGGTAGGAGGGGTGCTGTGCTGTGGAAGATGGGGGCAGTCTTCTTGGTGCCACCAGGGAGTGGGCACAGCCTGGGCCACAGGATGCCAGGGTCTAGGGTGGAGGTCTCCCGGGCCGAAGCGCATACCCACATGCTGCCTAGACCAGAAGGAAATGTTTTGGGGTTCAGACTGCCAAAGCCCCTTCCCAATGCCCTGCTTCCTGCATCTGGAATAAGGCCCTTCAACGCGACAAAATGACAAAACACTGGTGTGTGGGCTCTCTCCCGCTTCCCAAACCTGGGGTCTTTGTGAGCTCGCGGCCCAAGCCAGGCCACTGACTGAGGCCCCGTCTCCTGCACTGGGGCCTGCCGCCCCCTGTCTGGCGGGAAGTCTGCCTCAGTTTGGCCTGGCACTCTGCCGAGCTCAGCCCACAGAGACCCCTCTGTGTACAACCCACAATCTGATTTAGAAGACCAATGGAAGCGCCGTCTTAAGAGGCTCCCACCTCAGGGCAGCACGATGTTGGAGGCCAGGGCAACAGCCAGGGCCACTCCAGAGAGGGACAGGGCTGGGACTCACACTGCAGCTGGGGGGCATTGTAGCCACTGTCGGGTAGCACCCTGCTCCCTCCCTGGGCTGAAAGCCCCACCTGTAAACTCCACTTGGGGGCCTCTGCCTTCCCCTGCCACTCACCCTTCTCATAAGGCCCCAAGGTCCACCCAGAGTGGCCAGAGCACATGTGGGAGGCCCGCTCTCCCGCCTGAAGGGAGAGACCCACACTCCTTCCTAGAAGGTGTCTGGGGTGCAGGCTTCCAGAGCCCCACCAGCTGGATGTGAATCCCAGCCCTGTAGCCTCCAGACGCCACCTTCAGAAGGTTCTTTTACTTTCTGTGCCGATTGCTGGCTTTTCTCTAGAAGAGGTATAGGAAACAGTGGAGTCACAGTGCCAGGCACATTAGTACTCGGTGAATCATCTCTTTCCACCCCAAAGAGAAGGAACCTTCCTCAGAAGCCACCAGTCAGGTGGTTGCAGGGCTCAGGATTGGAAAAAGTGGTTTCCGTTGGTGCTAAATGCCTTCCCAGGTGGTCAAAGTGTCCCCTGGCCTGGTCAGCCAGTGGCCATGAGGGAAAGGCTTGGCTGCACCCCCTGGTGGGCAGAGTATGGCCTCTGGGCAGCCGTTGTATGCGATGGTTGTGGTGGCTGTGGTGGGAGGCAGGTGGCTCCTTGAGTAGGCCTGGGGGTCACTGCGGCTCTCGGTCCCTCTCCAGCCTCCTCACCAGCCTCATCAGTGCCAAGCGGGGAATACTGAGGGCATCCCCTTCTCATTCGATTGCAGGAGGAGTGGAAGAGCTGGAGGGAAAGCTGCTCCTTTGGGTGGACAGGTGTTCTCAGTCCAAGAGGCATATGCAGGGCTGCCTGGCTCTGGGCTGGGAACTGAGGCCCTAAGATACCGCCCCAGCCAGTAAAAAGTCAGAATTTTATGGGGGTGTCCTCCAGGTAGTCACAGAAGTGGGGTGAGCCATACCAAAGCCCCGAGGAGGGATGTCAGGCTGGGTGGTGGTGGGATTTAGCTTTGGACAACCCTGCATTTGAGGCCTGGCTCCACCGCCCACTAGCTCCATGACCTTGGGTCATCGGGTCACCTGAGCCTCAGTTTCCTCATCTGTAAGGCAGGGCTCGTGCACAACTGATCCCTTGGTGGTGCGTGAGGACTGCGTAAGAACGGTATGTAGCAGGCCCCGGGTGAGTCTGTTTCCTCCCTGCCTTCGTGCGAGCTAACGGTGCTGGTTTCAAGATCCTCTTTCTCGAGTATTTAGTCAGTTAATGAATGAATTTAGAGAATCCCAAAGCTGCTGCCTGGTGGGCCCAGGCAGGGCGCTGCTTGGGGAGGGGCTCGCCTGTTCTGAGGCTTCTGTTGCCCATAGTGGCTCCAGTTTGCAGCTCTCTGCTTCCTAAAACAGCCACCTTTGGGGACCTGCTGTGTGCTGGGTTCTGCTCTAGGCATGGCATACGGTGGGATGGGGCAGACACAGTGGGCAGGCAGGAGAGGCAACCAGCACGTGTATGTGACACAGGTGGCCCTGATGTGGCTCCCAGCAGCCCTTTAATGCCGTCTGGATTTGTCGTAGGAAATTAAGAGGGAAGGGGCCTTGAGAAGTTACGCTTGGTCCCAGAGCCACACAGCTGTCACAGTTTTGATCGGCTTTGCCTGTCCTCTGAAGTGTGTGCTCCTGACCACCGCCCCGTCCCGCCTGGGCTGCTGCAGCCACTTCCCGGCTGCTCTGCAAGGAAGCCGGGCCTGGGGCGTGGCTTCCCTTTAAAACGGAGGAAGGAGGTTCAGGCGGGAAGTGACTGGGCCTGGCTGGGGAGGTGGGGAGGGACAGAACGCCATGCGGCCATGCGTCTTCTGTCATCTGGTCGTGTTTCCATTGAGTCACCTGCTGTGTGGTTGGAGAGGCTGAGGCCGGGGAAGGAGCAGGTTGTTATCCTCGCCCCTGGGCTGAGAGCGAGCAGGTCTGTTACAGGACTTCCTCTGTTTACGCAGTGCCCAGCCTTCACGGACGCCAGGGTTAGAAAAACATGTTTCAAAACATAGAGCGTCAAATAGAAAGTCTCACCTACTTAAACGGTGGGGAGACCTGAGCCAGGGGAGACCAGGAGGCGGGCACTTGGGGTCCTGCAAAGGAAAGAGTCTCCTTGTGGCAGGCCTTGCCTCTGTACAGCAGCCAACATTTTTTCCATTGAAAAAATAATATATATATATTTTTTTTTAAAGAGAGGGGGAGGAAGAAAGAAAACTGTGACCTTAGCAGGAAGGGGGTGGAGCAGGGCAGACAATGGACAGGGGAAGGTCTGCAGCAGGTGGCTGAGCCGGGTCTGGGTGGCTGGGGGCAGGGAGTGGGTGTTGGGACACCCCCCCCCAGTTGCTGAGGTGGCAGAGGAGGGGTCTCTGCAGGGTGTCAGGGCCTGGGTTGTAGACCGGAGGCCCCCTGTGAGCAGGGGCTGGCTTCCTCATTCCCTGCAATGGGGCAGCTGCAGCCGCCACTGGCAGACAGGGTCCACTGGGCAGCGCCAGGCCAGCTGAGGGGTTGCACCATCCTGCCATGGGGAGGGGACCTTTCCTGTCTCACGTCTCGTCTAAAAATAGTGAAAGGATGTGGATTTGCAGAGCCAAATGAGTGTCTAGATTGCTTTCCTCAATAATGCAGCGATAATGGCTCCGCGCATAGACAGCCACTCTCATCCAGCCCCGTAAAACCTTGGCAGATGTCTTACTTCAGTGGCTCACGGCCCGCCAGGTGGTGGCCAGTGCTGTTTGTTTTATCCCCACTTTACAGGTGGGAAAAACTGAGGCTGAGAAGGGGAGAGGCCGAGCAAGGGTTGGGGATCTGAGGCCAGCTTCGTGTACAGGCATATCCAGAGCTTTCAGGATCTTTCCCAGAGGCTGAGGAGGACGCGTCACCACTTTAACGAGCGGCTGGCTTCGGGGCATTGTGACTGTGGGCCAGGATGCTTTTGATGGGCCTCAAGTTTCCCAGGCGGGGCTGAGACT